CCCCTCACAAACAACCGATCGAGGCCGGAGACAATCACCAACTCCGCTCAACTTTCCTCCAATCATCGGGCCATCTAGATGTCGGCAAACACCAAGAGTAATAAGCTCACAACCAGCCAAATCACCCAACTAGTGCCATAAGATGATGCAACTCAATGCAATGTACCAGAGGCTCTCCAATCTCACTCAGGATGATGAAATCAAGTGAACAAGTGAGTGGAGTGTGTTGCTCAGCTTCCAAAGGGTGTGCACAAGTGTACGAGGTGCCAAGAGAGTGGCTAAGGCCGGCCACACCCTCTATTTATAGCCACACAAGCAAAAAGAGCCGTTATACCCCTTGGAGTTGTTTGCGCGGGAGCCGTTATACCCCTCTATTTATAGCCACACAAGCAAAATGATGACTATTATATTAGGTCATTATGATGATAACAAGGTTAAATTCTTATTTACCGAGTAGGTGCATAACTCTTCTCTAGAATTTCCAAGAATCCACGCTAAGTCCATTTCTGGACCGCAACACAACAGCTACGAGTTTAGATCATAATTGGAGTTCTACTCATCCAAAACCTATGATCTTGGACTTTCTGGAGATCTTATAAAATTGCCTACAACTTTCATTTAATCACTAAAAGCTTATTCAACTACTATCTTAGCCAAAATAGGTAAACTTTCCATTCTGTCCAGAAATTTCAGAGAGTAAGTATTTCGGGAGATCAACTTCTAACAACCATAACTCCGAAACTATTTGGCCTATTGCCCTGAAGTTTTGACACAAGCTATATAAAGAAATTTCCTACAACTTTGTTATTCACCATTTTTACAGCAAACTTCATTTGGCCTATGCAACACATCTAGCAACAGAATCTGTCCAAACAACTTCTATAAATGAATTATAGAGCAAAATAATATTTCACTACATATAAGCAATTAAAATTGGGCACAACCAAAGGTACCAATAGTTCATAGGCAACATACAGACTCTAGCAGATATGATGGTCAAGCACAAATAATTTATTTAAATGCTTTTATCAATTTATTTCGACACTAAGGTGAAATAAAGAAAATATATCAAAAGTGCACAATAAATTCTGAGAAAATTACAGTGGTTCATATATCATCCCAACAGGCTATTGTAAAAATTTCATACCAAATAGACAAGTACAACACCCTCTACATAAATGACAAGTTATAAGGGCTGATTTTAGTGAAAATAGTTATCCCTATTGAAAAGTGTCAAACAATAGATTTCATCTTTTTCTTAGCTTCCCTAAAGCCCATTAACACTGTACAAAAATTTGCATGGCAATATATTACTTATTTTTATCCTTATGAATTTCCTCGGAAAGCACCATTTATTAAAAGATAAATAGAAAGACCAAACTCCAATCAAGTGTACTGCAAGTTTAACATTTTTCCAAACTATAGCAAGTCAACACAAGATCAGCAAAATTAGAATCACAATTTTATCACTTTCCTAGCTCGAGTTATGCACTTTACAAGATTGCAAACAATTTAAAAGCACTTATCTAGCTCCATTTAATTCTCCTAGAAAAACATCCCAAACAATAGGTTTCATATTTTTATCAAATACTACACTTCATGATGAATCCAACAAAATTTGGTTCACTCCATTTGGATATCTACAACTCTACTTATGAATTTTTAAAATATACATTTAAATCTGTGAAAACAAATAAGAAATCCAAGACACACAATGATTGACACATGGGGCCCGGTGGTTAGTAGGACCCACGCGTCAGCGATACAAAGCAGAGGAGGTGCTCCAGCTAGCGATATCTCATCGGCGGCGAGATCATCGGCGACGACGGTGACACCTATGTGTTCCCCACATCGAGACGCGTCGATAGGTAGTGACTACGCGACCTAGGGTTCACCGGAGACAGCTCGCCGACGGCAATGGCGGACGACGGAGGTAGCGCCGTGGTACACTGGCATTCTCCGGCCATCACGGGCTCCGGTGAGGTGCGCTACGGCTTCGTGGAATGTTAGAGAAGCTATCTAGGGTGGTTAGGGGTTCCGGTGAGGCAGCGGTGAGCTCCGACCGCATGCATGCCACGGCGGCGGCGCACAGAGCGCGATGGTGCTCTCGTCGTTCCTGCTAGACGGCGGTGAAAGGCAGGTCTCCGTCTTGCCATCCGTTAAGTCTAGGCGTACTCAATCTAAGGCGCATGAGTAAGAAGGGAGGCGATGGGCTAGCTTGGCAACGGTGAGCTCGAGTGTCACGGAGGCCATGGCAGACGCGGCGGGAGCGATGGTGTGTTCCCGCACAACCGTGCAGTAACATCAAGTCAAGCTCCTACCTAAGCGTAAGGACCACAAAGCGACTACAGATCGGAGAAAAGGAGGGCCGGAGGTTTGGTGGAAAGGCGCGGCCATGGTGAGCCGAGCACACGGTGGCGCTCCGATGAGATCGTGGCGACGACGATGCAAAATGCGCCCTTACCCTGGCTCGGCAAGCGGGGCTATCGAGTTAGGGTGGAAGAGGTGACGATGGCAGAGCTACTGGTGAGCTGGATTGGGCAGTGGTGCAGCGACGGCGGTGAGTGGGCACGACGGAACACGGTGGCAGCAATGGCGAGCACGGCGTTCCACTTCGGCAAGGCAAAGTGAGAGAGAGGAAGTGCGAGTGGGTGAGTGAAGTGATGCAGGGGCGCGACGCCTTTGTGCACGCTTCGACCAGACCGGTCGGGCCATCGCCGGTGTACGGCCGCCATGTGGCGGCCACGACGGTCAGAGCCGATGACAGCGCCTGATAGCGAGACTTTACAATCGTCTAGCTCCAAATCCGTGGCGATTCAGCGAAACCCGTAATAATCAAAGTTGTAGAGCTACATGTAAACTCTAACTTTGCTTTAGAGAGCAACATCTAATTCATCCTAGTTTTCAAAATACAAAGCTCCAAAGTACGGTTTATTGAAATTGAAAACCGGTCTCAGACTTAGAAAATTTTCAAAGTCAAAAATAGTAATTATATTGTTATTTGTGTGCTATTTTTGAGTAAGCTATGCACCGAATTAGGTCTTAACCCAAAAATAAAAGTTGTTACCCTAGTCGAGTACTACAACTTTGCTTAAGGGTGCACTGCCATGCAAATACTCTATGCTATAGTTCAACTTAGGTCAAACATATAACTTGAAAATGGTAACTTACACTATAACCATGATTTAGAGGCCAATTGGAAGTTGTTCCATAGGACATTCTAAACATGTTTAAGGTACCCCTAAGGTCCTACAAACATTATATACATTGGTCACGGGTAAACCCTAGCATATGCAAGACATTTAGTGACAATACCTGTGATATAAGCAATCATAGAGATAAAATTTGAGATGCTCATGTTCATGAATGATCAATGATACTTGTGCTAATGCAATGTCAATGTCAAATGCATGCTTAATACCAGGGTGTTACAGCTGGCGCAGTGCGGGTGGGAGCACATGGGGTGCGCACGATAGAGAGGGGAGATGCAGGCATCTAGGCAACCAATCACTTGCTCGGTGTAGCCTGTATGCATGGATCCTAGCAACCAAACAAAACATCACTTGCATGCTCTCAGCCTGGCCACCGATGGCCTGTTTCCCGAGAACGGACCTGGCTAGACAAGGCAACCAAACGTGTCCTTTGCGAAGGAGCAGGGGGGACGGCGGCGGCGGGGATCTGGTTGCAGAGGAGCAGGAGGACGAGCTGCGAGGCGCCGATACCCACCCGATGCGGCCGATGTGGATGTGGGTTGCCACTCGGAATATTCGGGTTGGATTGTTCAACCCACTATGTATAAATGGGCTAGGTTACAGTGTTAGACCTTGTTTGGCTGCTCGGGTATTGGCGTGGATCGGCCCTTAAACTACGTGTGACGTGGAACAAAGCCCAATCGGAGTGAGCTCCCGCTTTCGGCCCGAATATGCATTTGGCTGCTCGAGTATTGACGTGGGTCAGTGGGTGACGGACCAACATAGGTGAATACGCAGGCTCCCCTCATAAAAAAAATAAATAAATATACGCAGGCAAAAGAAAATCCCTTTGCTAAAAAAAAAGGCAAAAGAAATCCCCACCGGAGCTGTGGAGAGACCGAGCTCTGCCTCTCGCGTGCGAGCGCGCTGCGCACCCCGCCTCGCCGGTGCCGCTTCGATCGGCGCCGCTCTGGCCGCCTCGTCGTCGTCGCCTCTCCGGCCTCCTCCTCCTCGTCGCCGCTCCGGACGCCTCCTCGTCGTCGCCCCTGCCGCATCCGCGACATCGTCTTCCTCATCCAGCCATCCACTGCACTCCGGCAGACCTGGTAGAATCCGCTCCGGTGAGCCTCTCCCTCCCCCTCCTCTTCCTTCCATCTCCACTGCTCTGATGCTTCACTTCTTTTTAGTCTACGGTTTCGATTTCACCTTTCTTCTCCCACAGATCCGGTAGAGTCAGATCTTGTCGGGTTGCATCCTGGTGTTCCCTCTGCTATGTAGAGTTGCATGTTTCCTCTTTTCTTTTGTAGAGTTGCATCCGGTAGAGTGAGATCTGCCATTGAAGCGACGGCTAGCTCCTGTATATGATCCATCCATCATTTTTTTTGCCTTTTGTTTTACCTTGCTCTGTCTGTAGCTCTGGTAGCACAATCGATTGACTTGTGCTCCTACAAAAGAGTAGGTACGCAGCAATACGATGATTCTTGCTCAGTTTCATCCGGTAGTGCGAATAACTGAAGCATTCTGTACTTCTGAACAAAACACTCAGCTTCTGGATTGTGGACTCTAAATGTAAAACAAATTGGATAAAATTACATCTGTTCTACTGTTAGATGTTTCCTCCACTGTTAGCATTACTGATTGTTCGATCAAAAACTTAAACACTAGCTGCTTCAGATCAGAACTTGCTCTGCTAACTCATTATTTGTATGTCGCCGATGATAACACCTCTTGTGCATCATCATCTTCGCAGGTTCATTTTGATATTCCAACAAAGGGCACCTTGCTAGTCTCCCAGATTGTTTCCGAACAATGAGGACGCATGAACGAGCTGCCAATTTGGCTCTTGCCGGTACGTTAATTGTGCAGTTGAGCCATCACTGCCTTTACAGTGCTCCTTACATTCTTCCTTTCCCTTTGATATAAAGAGCGCGTGCTGACCTCAGCAGCATATGTATTTTACAATATGCAGGTCTGAGCTTGGCGCCACTTGTGGTCAACGTAAACCCAAATGTGAATGTGGTATTGACAGCATGCCTTACTGTCTATGTGGGTTGCTACCGTTCTGTCAAGCCAACTCCACCCTCTGTAAGTAATATGTGTTTATGTATCTGCTGGCTGTTACTGTGACTTGTAAGTCATCCAACCAACTGATTTGTTTTTGCAATTGTTATTATGCAGGAGACCATGTCCAAGGAGCATGCTATGCGGTTCCCCTTAGTTGGAAGTGCTATGCTTTTATCACTGTTTCTTCTATTCAAGTTTCTCTCAAAAGACTTGGTCAACGCTGTGCTCACTGCCTACTTTTTCATTCTAGGCATTGTTGCTCTCGCGTGAGTCCATTTTTTCTTGGAACAACTTTTGCAGACATGTTTAAGTGTTTATGTGCTGTACTTATGAGGCCCTTCTTATGCAGTGCAACACTGCTTCCTTCTATAAAACGTTTTCTTCCAAAAAAGAGTGGAATGATAATCTCATCGTCTGGCGGGCTCCACTTATCCGCTGGGCTCCATTTATCCACTGTATGATCCTGACTCCCTTTCTTTGGTGCTTAGTCTTGTTGATCTAGTTATGCAGATCTTGATTTTATTACTACACCTATGTTTTCAGTGCTATTTTAGAGCACTATTTGATTGTATTTTAAGTACTGCTGCACATTTAAAAAAATTTGGTGGCTGGTGACCAAGAGTTGATATATTATTTTGTGTACTGAATGAACTCGAGCTTTTTCACCATTGACTCTTTCAACCCTGCTATGAATAGTTATAAAAGAAAAAAACTGTGAACAAAATGATATTTCTCCATGTGGATATGGAATCTTCCATTTTTGTGACATTAGAAACTCCAAATGCTAGCATGGATGTATATTCTTTGTTTACAGCATTTTTATGGATATAGAAGCTTCCATTTCTCCCTCAGAAATAGACTTATTACAAGATTTCAATTACAATGGCTGTCATGGTGTTAACTGTTAATACAACCTTTGCATTTGATATTTGATTTCTTATGAGTCTTAGACTCTTAATTCAGAACAAGGACAAGTGGTATTGGATTTAACTATGCCAGTAGCCTCCCTTTATAATCTTTATTCTTGAAGATGGTTTAAGCCCATGAATTTCTTAATTCAGCACTCTCGGTGGAGTTCACAAAGTCCCAGATTGTTGCTTCAATACCTGGATTTTTCTTTTGCTTGTGGTATGCGTCAAAGAAGCATTGGCTTGCAAACAATGTTCTGGGATTGGCTTTCTGTATTCAGGTTTGTTTGCATGGTTTAACATTAATATACATTACTAAAGATTATGGAATAAAAGCTAAAATCATTTGATTTGTTTTACGCACCGGTTTTTATTTTACCAGAACCTTAACACTTCAATTTCGCAGGGGATTGAGATGCTGTCATTGGGATCATTTAAAACTGGAGCCATTCTCTTGGTAAGGGTTTTCCCAATGTTTGCTTGATTTGGCCTGAACACTATATGTTTCTATTTTCTGTTATAACTTCTAAGAACACATCCTCATTATTTCAGTCACAAACCTGTCCTTATTTTATTATCTCTGCACTATCATAATCACCACTGTAACATTTTATATATCTATGATTTATTATGGATCATCTGGTCTTAACATATCTTTACTTTATTTGGCTATGAAAGGAGCTATCTCCTATGCACTATAGGAAGCTAAAAGTATCGCTTGTTGTCTGTATGTGGATTTAAATGTGTACAATTTCTCATTCTTGTCAAATTGTATTGTGCCCCTATCTTCATGAGAGTTCAATATATTTTCTAACACTTAAATAATTGTATTTTATAATCAAAATTCAGATCATGCTATCTGTTGGTTCTTCCCCTGTATTGACCAAAACATTTGTTTGACTGCAATATTTGTCCAAGCTGTGTCACCATGTTGGTAAATTTGATTTAATTCGATGCTTTGGGTTTTTTAGCATGCACTTTGTCATATATTTATTAAACTTTGGAAAAAAATGGTTTTTCTTAGCAACTTTGAATTGGTGATCATATTATGTTATGAATATTAAAATATGGAACCTTTGCCTGGTGTATAATAGATTAATAGTTCTGAAGTAATTGGGGCTGGGCCCTTGCATTTTGAGTGCCATTGAAACATTCTCTGTTCATTTATTCATATGTAAATGCATTTTCCTTTTCCATTTCCAGGGTGGACTTTTTGTGTATGACATTTTCTGGGTGTTCTTCACTCCGGTTATGGTCAGTGTGGCTAAATCTTTTGATGCTCCGATAAAGGTCGGTGCTCTTTCCTACTGAACTTGGTCTTTGTTAATACCATTGTCAGTTAGTTCCATTTTCTCATCTTGATGCTTCAGCTGATCTGGCTTTGCTTGGTTATGTACAGCTTCTGTTTCCAACTGCAGACGCTGCACGACCATTCTCCATGCTTGGCCTTGGTGACATTGTAATACCTGGTTAGTAATAAAAATTTCTTTCCTTGTGCTATGTTATATTCTGCTTTGCAGTGATGCGGATTTTCCTCCCTTATTGAACGGTAATATCAGCCTCTGTAGGAGTGTCAAGTGCCAACTTTGTTCTACATGATTAGATTATCTGTACCAAACTGTTATATATTGGAACATTGTTAGAATGTCTATAAGTGGCATTTACTGATATGCTGTATCAATGGAGCTCTTGCTTTTGTTGATTCATGGGGATTGATTAGAATTTTAGATTTATGATATGGGTTACTTTTGGTATCTATGTATTCTTTGTAGCACTTGACAGGGAATCAATGTTGTAACGAATTGGTCCTGCTGGATTGAGATCATGCTCTGCATCATATTGCTAGGTCCATGCTCAGATATACTTTTAGGCCATCTCGTTGCATGCAGCCTTAGGTTAGCCAATACAACCAATATTTGTGTCCATTCCTGGCCCCTGGAGAACCACACAATATGTATCAACAGAAACTATAATTTCAATTGATTCAAGTTGCATACAAAAAAAGGTGATATTTGAATCTGAATTTAGGCAGTTTCCAAGTCATTAAGCACATAATATGTATTTGTACTTTTGCTTCCAGGTATATTTGTTGCACTTGCCTTGCGCTTTGATGTCTCAAGAGGTATCAAGAACCGTTACTTCAACAGTGCATTTTTGGGATACGCTGTGGGTATGACGGTGACCATCATCGTAATGAACTGGTTTCAAGCTGCACAGGTGAGTTCTGTTACTCAGGTTATATTGTCTTGATTCCCTTGTTTCTGTCATCCCTCTAATATTAATACTATGATTATTTTTGGGGTTTATTGCAGCCTGCTCTACTATACCTCGTTCCTGGTGTGATCGGTTTCGTCGCTGTTCCCAGTCTGTGGTATGGAGAAGTGAAACAGGTCAGATTCTGAACACTTACTGCAGCTACCATTCCAAAGAAAAAGTTTTGTCTAGCCTCTTAACTCATCCTTTGCCTTGAACTTTCAGTAGCATAAAAGTTAAATAAAAGATGAACTATTAGACACAGTAAATATGCTTCTTTGGATGCGCCTAATTGTGTTCCTGACTTTTCTGCTTGGTTGATGCTTGTCTCTTAGCTGTTACTACAAAACAATGTCACATCTTAAAAACTAGCTTTGCGCATGCAAGAAAAGGATCTCATGGCAAAAATAATCTTCTTAGAACAGTTACTACAATTTAGTATTGGGTGTAAAACTAGTGTCTTTTAAAGAATACAAATAACTCTTGTTTTGCAATCTGATTGCTTCACTTGGAGTATCTGACTTACTCAGGCACCGTATGGCCCTTTCATTTTTGTACATTTGGGTACCTGTACTTATCACTCTATCAGTACTACTGTTAGTCATGAAGAACTTGTCCTTATGCTGAGTTGGTATTAACTATTACTATTACATTTGTTGATGATTGAACTCAAGAATGTTGATGGCGATCTGTAGTTCCAGCTCCTGGTCGTTTGTTCCATTTCCGTACCTTCTTTTTTTTTGTGTGGGGGTGGGGTGGGGTGCTTTGCAAAGTTTTATCCTTTTGTTTCCCACAAAAGTAGGCCTGTTATAAAATATGTATCAGAAAATGCAGGACCTTCTGAGTTCTGACCACATTTCTGACAAATGCAGCTGCTGGAGTTTGACGAGTCAAAAGTTGAGGCAGAGGAAGGCGGTGCAGAAGAAGAGCAAGATGATGATAGTTCCCAAGTCAACAAAAAGGTGGACTAGCGTTCTAGCAGGATTTAGTTCCGGAGGTAAAAGGACAGGACGACAGTTTTCGTGTAAGGTCGTCTGGCAGCTAAACGGGCTTGATGACCTCTAATACCGGGTCGGCTTACTTAAGAACTTAGAAATGGTTCAACATGATACAAGTTTTTTTCGCTTTGCGGATTATTTGGCCTGAACTGGAGAGTGAATGATGAGGGAAAAAGATTTTGTTACTTGCGATGTCCTGACGTGCTCCTGATTCGTTAAGGAATTAACCAGAACTCTGATTGGGCCGGCGCATTCATGCCATGCATCATGTTTGCTTTGCTTTTTTGCAGGCAAGAATTTCATTAGGGATTTTACAGGTTGAATCAGCTGGGAGAAACACCTCAGATCCAGCATGGGCATAAAGAGCGAGTGATTTTAGAACACTGTGCTTAATCATATAGTCATGGCTCATTAGTTTTACTTGGGGCAAATTGTTTCTTAGTTATTATAGAAAAAAGTCCATATTAACTCCCTCAACTTTTGCGAAAGTTTATTTTTCCTCCTGAACTCTAAAATTAGGTAATAAGCGGTTTTCAAAGGTAGTTTTGTCTTTTTTCTTTTTTATTTATTTTAGCTGAATTTTAAAAAAAAATTATAGTAAATCATAGAAAAATCATAAAATGGATTTTATTAGACTCTACGTGAGTAGATCTACACAATCAACATATAATATGGTATGCTTTATTATTACAAATTTTTCGCTGTAGCTTTAGATTGAAACAGGTGATGTGGGGACCAGCGTGGGGATCATTGATTCCCTGGTTAGGTCTTGTTTAGATGATGGTTGAGAATCAGTATTTGACACTGTAACACTTTCGTTTGTATTTGACAATTATTATCCAATCTTGGTTTAACTAGGCTCAAAAGATTCGTCTCGTAATTTACAATCAAACTATATAATTAGTTATTTTTTTATCTATATTTAATATTCCATGCATATGTCTAAAGATTTAATGTGATGGAGAGAGAGTGAAAAAACTTTGAAATCTAAACAAGGCCTTAGTTTTGTTGAACGCAGTAAAGGGATTTGGGGCGAGAGGTATAGGCTTCGAGCTGAGAGACTGCGGCGGCGTAATAAGATAAACGTCAGGGAGGCGCGGTATCAGCAATGAACTGAGCGATATCCAATTACGCGGTACCCTTTAACGGACCGGCCTGAACCAAACACATGTTTCGTTATCTAGTAGCGGAAGTAATCGAACTGCGTCAGCGGCGGAACCAGGAACTTGTCACGCCGGCCGACGCCACGCATGCGCTAATTCCATCCTTCAGTATCAGGAATGGGTAGCGGTTTATTCTTGAGCCCGTTTGCCGATTGATTTATGAGCTGATAAGCTCAGCAGATGCTAGTTTGTTGTGAGAAAAAAAAATTATTATCCAACTAATAAGTCCTGACTCAAAACAATAAAAGAACAAGCTGGTTGACTCGTCGAGACCTGAATGTTGTCCCCTAGGCTTTGAATGCGGGAGAGTGGAGACCTGCGGAAGAAAGCTGGAGACCTGCTAAAGTGCAGAACGATGATCTGTACTATGTGCTGTATATGTGCTTTGAAGAGGGCTTGCAATGGCAGGGTTCCAAATATTTTTGACGTGTCAGGGGGGCCATGGCCTCTGCTTGAATTTTTTTTCATAAATATACACCTAGAAGTATGCTTTCAAAATCTAGACTCTTAGCTCAGTACCATCGTTGGTGGCGCCGAGCTTACACGTCTCGACGTCATAGATTTTGGCGCTAGGTCTTGGACACGACGCAGACGTGGCGGTGACTTGGCAGGCACCTTGACGCCGTAGATCTTGGCGCCGAGCTTGTCGCCGTGGTTATTGGCGTCAAGCCCTGTCTTACGTATGGGCCCTCCTTTCCTTTTTCTCTTCCTCTATCTCTACCGCTCCCGAGCCAGGGCGTCGCCAGCGCTGCCGCACCGCCGCTCCCGCTGCCGCGCGTAGCCCTGGCCGTCCACGGCCCTAGCCCGCGCCCGCGCCCACGCCGGCCCCCGCCGTGTCGGCCGCCCGCGTCGCCCCTCACGGCCCGCGCCACCTCGTCCCGGCTCGCCGCGTCCGCCGTGCGCATAGGCACTCCCTCCAGCGACCCCGCCCGCGACACGGCCCCTGCTCCCAGCGCGCCGTGACCTCGCCGTCGATCCCGTCCTCCGCGTCCCTGTCCTGCTCCGGTCCTGGCGTCCGCGTCGCATCGTTGCATTGACTTGGACTGGTAAAATTTTTGAATATGCAATGTATGTACTTAGTTAGCTTGAATTGTAGTGCTCCTTTGATTATTTGGTAGTTTCTAGTAAATTTGATGATGTAGGTAGTTGATTTAGTTAGTGAGATAGATATAGTTAGATAAATATAGTTAGATAGCTAGTGACATAGATATAGTTATTAGATAACTAGTTGATTTAGTTAGTGAGATAAATATAGTTAGATAGCTAGTGACATAGTTATTTATGATGTAGTTGGTTAGTATCTATTAGAGAGGTACTATATAGCAGCTACTTTGGACTAAACGAACTGTATTTCAATTTTTGTTTGAACTAATAGATGGATAACCTAGTGAGCATATATCATGGATGCATAGTGGAAAGAGATCGCTATGGATATGTTGAGTTTGTTGAGATGCAAAGCGTGCCTGTGTTATTCAATGAGAAGCCTTCATTTAGTAAGTTGGTTGCAAGGGCTCGGAAGACACGCTCACGGCGTCTAGTGTAAGTAAATTTTATTTCCCATGCTGGTTTCAAATGGTTTAGTATAGCATCTAACATCTTGTTGCAGGTGTCGTGGAGGCGTACGATGGAGAGGGGGCACATCCTTTTCAATTGAGCAACATGTGTGGGTGCGACGACGACTTCTACAGGATAAGGTGCCCTCTAATCTATTTATTTGCTGTCGAGTTTCACCTACCAGATAGAGTTGCACGCTAATTTGGAGCGAGACACCTTTGGCCAATGGCTCCGTTCTCGACTGGCGTTGACTTACACAAGTAAGTGTTTTGCTATTTCAATTGTCTCGTGATGGTCCATTTCCATTAATTCCTATATAAGATGAAGTAATGATGACATACGTGCACTTTTAATATGGTGATATGTACATGGATGGAGATGAATGTGCGTGTATGGGCATTTCATGTTCTCATCATTACGGCAAGTTATAGGACTATGGGTTCAACCCATATCGTGATCTGTTTTCTCTTCTTTCTTTAGAACCCACATGGTAACATTTTCCATAGTGAAGCTTACATATGATGATACTGTTATGTATGATTTCTTCAATCACTCTGTACCTTTCTTGAGAAGCTTACATCAAATAGTCGCGTCATATAGCTTAGGCGCCATCGTTTTACAGCATCAATTTCATACCTGCCAGAAACTAACATCTTACGTGACGTGCAGGTTGGATCGTCAGAAGAACAGGAAGATTTTTGATTGGGAGAAGCACCACCAGTACTACATTGAACAATGGGAGCTGTTGCACAACAACGTGGACGAGAACAACGAGCCGCACATGAACCATGAGTATAGGCGCTACCAAGCTTGGTACCAATGTGTGACACGTTGTAGCCTGAGGCTACACTGGATAGAAGATGACTACGCCAACATCAAGTCCTCCGACGATGAAGACACGATGTATGACCAAACTACTCGTGTAGGAAGGCAGGTGGAGGCAGGACAAATCTTGGACAGAGTGGTAAGTCAATTGCCTTATTTTTCTATGTTAAGTTGCATACCAATACATTCTGTGTTTGAGATCTCTATTTTAGTTAGTGGCACATTCGAGTCGTAGCATCCTTATAATTCAGTACAACAGATGGAGTTGAGGAACTGATCAGGAATTAACTAGTACTCCATACTAGATTAGTAGCGTCCTCATTTTTCAATGTCCACCAATCTTACTGTGAACTTTGTTGCAGGGCAATACCCTCAAATGCTCGGTTGAAGACATTGAGTGCTTTCGTCCGAGAGTCAGGGACGGCGACACGCGTAGCTTCCTAGATGTAAGATTCAAAATATTCTTTGAAATATATTATTAATACGTTAAATTCTTTCGGTTAACATTATTTTGTATAACAGAGACTGTCACGTCAACTACGCCGTGCGGCTGCTCGTTGTGGTTGCAGGACAGCCACGACACAAGACGTGCACGTTTCTTCCGCAGGCAGAGGAGGCTTAGGTTCGTCTAGCCAAGCACCTACAGGGTCCATAGGCATTGCGTATGAGGACAAGGACGAGGACGAGGACGACGACGACGATGAGGTGGACCAGAGGAACGAGGAGCTTGGCCCGTCTCAGCTCCAGGACGCTCCCTCGACTCAGCCTACACAGCCTTTAAGCACTAGGCGACGCCGTCCACCTGACCCTTACACTTCAGGCACCGACGCACTTGGTCATAAGGGTAAGGGTAAGACTAGAAGACAGTGAGGGTTTATGGTAGATGTTATTATATAGTATTATGGACTTTATGGACTTTTATTATGAACTATTATGGACTGTATGGACTATTATTATCGAATATGAACTACTATGGACTATAATTATGGACTATGTGGACTATTAATATGCTCATGTATATGGTTTCATATGAACGTGGCATATATTTGTATGTTTGTACATGTTGTATTGAGGTTAAATATTCATCTCATATTTGTGTATGGATGGCATAAAAAAATAAGAGAAATTATGGCGAAATTTTCTGCTTAAAGTACGTATTAATCAACGACATCAGTTTTTACGGTTCAAAATAGTGATTGAAGTCTGAAATCGAATGAGCTTTTTAGTCATGGAATCTAGGGGAAATAACCTTTACAGTGATTTGTCATATCACCGTCGAATAGACTTTTCAGTGTCCTTCGAAATAGTGATTGAAGTATGAAATCGAATAGGCTTTTCAGTCATGGAATTTAGGCTCTTCAGTGTCCTACGATGTAGGCTTTTTAGTACAGCACAATACAACGGCTAGCAAACCTGCCTCCGCCTATATGT